TTACGATTATTAAGTGTTTTTGCAGAGCTGCATTAATCAGGATTGCTGCTGATTGACTTATTGTTGACATTGAAGCAAGCTGGTGAACGAAAGTATAAAGTACAATACTTCATTTTGCGCCTGTAATTTTCGATAATTTTCATTTATACTTGACAACAAAATGCTAATCAATCAATCTGCATTGAAGCAAAACTTGGGGACGAAAATTCAATCCTCCCCGGATTTGCCAGTTTGCCAATGTTTTCCTTTGAAACGGACCGTTTATGAAACACTAAATTTCTTGAATCTGTGCAGTCTGAACTTAGTCTGAGGTCAACAATTCTGTGCGCTGCATAGCGCAAAATATAAAAATGTTCTTGGAAATCTCAGCTTGAATCAGTTCTTGAAAATCTCAGCTTGAATCAAAGTGCAACTTCAATAGCTTTTGTTTTATTTCAATTATGGCTCCGCAAATGAGCTCTGCTCTCAGGTTCATTCAATGTAATCCTCTGAAAACTTATGTAGCTAATTAGCTCACGAACTTTTCCTAAATTTCTTCTCAATTTCAAAGGGATATAGATTGCAAAAATTTCAACATCTGAGAATGAAGGTCTCAATTTTGACGGTAAGTTTTTTTGTTAGACGCTAAATAGATGCCCATCTCATATTTTATCCTTCCTATCTATTCTCATCCTTTAGACGACCCTAGTTTTTGCACTCTTCTTCCAAGGAAACGCCAAGTTTTGGGACAAGGATTCCAATGAAGTACTCAAAGAATCTGAGCCTTCACCAAATAAACGAAAACTTCTCGCACCTCGTTGGAGACACAAGCTCACGTGGGATAGCCCGACCTATTATGACTATGACTATGACTATAAACAATACTCTGACTTGCAAGGTCAAAAGATGGAGTTTAAATAAATATTGTATGTGAAAAGTATGAACTTGTTTTTTCCATTTCATCTTAAGGTAACTAACTATCGAGTCTCACTTTGCGCTACAGAAGGTCAAGGTCTTGCTTCCTGAGAAACACTGGCATTGCTTTCCCGTATATACCCTGTCTTCCTTTTCTCATACTTTCCCTAGAAAGAGCTTAAAAAGTCAAAGCTTTCGCACTTTAGAAATTGATTGGATGTGCGATTGAGAACTGGACCTTATCCCGCATCAAGTGTTGGTTTAACACAAGCCTTGAATAAAATAATTTGCTAAGAACCAACTACGTACCCAGGATTTCCGTTTGGGGAGAGGGCAAAAATCTTTTTCTTGAAGTTGCGTGCCTACAGCCATTTCCACCCCCGGAGAAATTTTATAGTAAGTTTCAAAAATTTCATGACCACTTCCTCTTTGTACGTCACTGCTAGGAACATATTCTCTGAAAGTTGGTGGAAATTTGGAGAACTTAATCATTTTTTCGCATCCTATGCTCAGCTTTCTCTCCTTATTGGGTAAGCAGTATATCAGCAAGACTGTTTGGTGACTACTCATACAGTACGTTTCTTTCGTACTGGATTTGGCTGCATACATCTCCAATCTGTCACTTAATCATTGTGCTTTTTTCACATTCAAAAGCCTGTTCAACATTGGGTGCTTTTAAACTGTGAACTGTACTTTTTTCATAAAGAAGCGATCTCAATCACAACTCGCTT